CTGGGACCAGCAACTGAAAAGGCCCAGTCACCCCAGTGTTTGTGTACCTCCAGCAGAAGTTGATTTGACGACCTCAGAGCTCTACCTGACTCCCGAACGGTTAAAAGCTCAGTTAGATAGATGGGGGTGAGGCTGTTAAGAGCCTTAAAAACAAACATTAAAAGTTTAAAATCAGTCTTTAAAGAGACGAGAAGCCAATAAGGGAGTTAAGGACAGGAGTGATGTCCTCACGTCTGTCAGTGTTATGTTGGACAAGTTTAAGGCGACTAAGAGATGATTGGGAGATGCCAACATAAGATGCATTACAATAATCTAATCTTGAACTGATTAGAGCGTGGATGGCGATCTCAAGGTCGTGACGTGTGTGCGGGTTCTCACTTTTTAACATCTGTTAAAAAGTCTCTCGGTGTCGGTCAGGCTTAACGCGAACTCTCCCCTGGGAGACAAATATGATTAACTATTCCCAAAATGACTCTTTCCTCTGCCACTGTCTTCACCGAGTCGGCCTCCTGCCTCGGTCATTGGATTCGTGTCCCCAAGTGAAACATGACTGATAATGTTGTACCTCGTGTAATAACCCAGCTCCACCTTGCCAAATAGGTTAATCTATCATTTTTCTCCTCACTAAACAAGCTAAACTTCCCTCAGACAGTTCTGCTCAACCTGTCCTTTCAATATGAATTGAGTTATGTCCCAATCAAACAAATCACAGCCTGTTCCAAACATGGCCGCTCCAAACAGGGCTGTGAGTAATGAATTGAGAAAGTCTATATTTGATTACCCCCGCTGCCCAGGGTTGACTAAGATCCATTTGAGAGGTAGTGCGCTGGAATTCCAATATGGACGCCCTCCAGCTATTGACCCTGTCTTTAAGTGGGCGCTGTGCTTTTAGTGTACTTACACTGGTTGTTCCACATCTTCTTCCTTCTGGCAGTTTTGCGATACTTTTGATGGCAGTCACTGGCTCCCTTTTCTCCACTCTGCATTATTGATGCATCAGAGAATGTGGATAGCCTACTTTTTTTGTCATAACCCATTGAGGGCACAGATGCAAGGAGATGAGAGCTTTGGCATTGCACAAGTATTTCATATCGTTTGAGGGTTTAAAAAGCGAAATGCATATTGACATGCTTGTATAGTGTGCCATTTAAAACCACTGGATCCAGTTTCTGCTCTTGGTAATGCAAAGAAACTATAAATTAAAGACCTGGCTGCAACTGTTTGGATCTCTAACCAAAGATGTGTGAGTTATAATAGAAATAAAATGAATATTGGGGAAGGACTTGTCTTATAACCCTTCACAATTAATGCAATTTAATGATATCTGCATGACTTTCAAAGTGAGAGGTTGAAACCTTACGTGGCAGATTCACAGTTATAAATTTCTTTGTGCTACTTCACTCCTGCTTCAATCCGGCGTGCTGTAAACGCAGAGTAACAATACACTTCAAATACATTTGGTCTCTGACTGAGCTTCTTATACCTGAGCTGCAGGGCACAGTAGTCTCTGCTGTGATGGCAGATCACAGGAAGTACTTTAAGGATTTTAAAAACTCTGTTTTTTTGTGATTTTTATCTTCAGAGCTGGAACGATCCTGAGCTGCTGAGCTACAGCGTGGACGGTGAGATAAATACACCTCAGAGCAAAAAGGCTGCGATGGAGAAAATCAAAAGGTATGTATTATGAACATGAAGAAAAGGAAAGTTGGTGTAGGAATACGATGGAAGCAGTATCCAGTTATATTTACGCATTTCACTGTTGTTGAGCAGCTTTTTGTGTTTTTCTACATTTTTAAGCACTTATAAGAAGGCTGACTATACATGCTCTTTAACCTGGACATGTCCTCTTTTGGGAGGCTGTCCAACCTGTCCAAGGGGAATTTATTAAATCATTTAAATGTCTAGGGTTTTGTACGAAAGAGGATTTATGGCCACATGAAGGGAAAAAAATAATTACGGTAAGGAGATTAAAGTCAAAATTTCGAGATTTAGATTGAAATCTCAAGATTCAAAATTAAAATTTCAGGATGAAAGTAGGAATTTTGAGATTAAAAACATCAAATTTATTTCAGTCGTTGAAATTTCAAGATCAAAAATTGAAATTTCGAGATAAAAAAATTGAATTATTTCAATAAAGTTGAAACTTCAAGATTAAAAATTGAAATTTCAAGGTTAATGAAGAAATTTCGAGAGTAAAAACATAGAAATTATTTCTATAAAGTCAAAATTTTGAAGATTGAAAATTAAAATTTCCAGATTCAAGTCCAAATTTTGAGATTACAAAATGTCGAAATGTTCTGAATATGTCAAAATTCCAAGATTTAAGATTTAGAAGTCGCAATTTTGAGATTAAAAATTGAAATTTCGAACTGTCAAAATTTTGAGGTTACAAAATGTCATGAATAATGGTTAATTAAAAAAAATGTAAAATTTAAGATTTAAGTTGAAACTTAGAGATGAAAGTCGACATGAATAAAGTCAAGATTTTGACTTTTTAAAATTTTAAAATCTCCATCCTGTAATTTTAATCCTCTTTCGTTTCTGCCTGTGAAAAAACAAAAACAGATGAGATAAAATTTTGTCTTATTTTTCTTACTTTTGGGAATTCAGAATATGCGTTTAACTGAAACAAAAACCCTTTTGCACACGCAACTGCGCCCTGCGTAGTCATAACGTAGTCCTCTTTTTGAGTATTCAGAATATGGTCACCTTACCGAAAAGGAGTATTTTTATGGTTATGAAATCGACAGATTTTCCTGTTTGTGTCTTTTCATGACATCCCAAAGCAACCATCAGGGACAACCATGCAGCTGACAATTTTAATGTTGTTATCTTAAAGTCCTGAAACTGCTGTGAGTGGAGAGGTGTCAGCCAAGAACGAGATCCTATGTTATCCCTGATTGGTGGAAATGGTGTTCCAACTCCTCCCATGTTACAACCAACACCGGTCTCCCCTACAATCACATCCACCACCAGATTTGACGCCTTATTCCAACCTTGGTGAGTGTGAACCTTATTTTTATTGTTATAATGCAATGCTTGATGATGTTACAGGCAGTAACTTCAAACAGGAGGGTCGACAAAGTGCAATACTTGAAAGAAAAGTAAATATATTAAAAATTTAGACCTGGATTAATGACCTCCTAGTGGTTCAACTTTCACGGTTAGCTCAAGAAGATTTGCTTGTGGGTATTATGGTGCTTTTTAACCGCCCTCCACACACCAAACATGGTTCAAAATAAGACCACAGAACTTTGAGTCAAGAAATTCAGCTCTTAAACTCAAGCAGATCTACAGGTTTGTTGTTTTGAGTGAAATTTCATCAAAGTACCTGTACTTCGGCTCGAGTTGAACATGTCTGCACCCTTTCCACCCCTGGATAAGAAAAGAAAAGAAACTGGGATCCTGGAAGAGCTGTAGCAGATCAGAAACATGTTCACACTTTGGTCCATAGATGGCAGTATTCTTACAGAAACAGAGGGAGTGAGTGTTCAGAGAGCAGCTCAGACTCAACTATGTAATAGGTAAGAAATACTCTTTTAAGAAATGTGATGCAATATTCACTCGTAAAAACGTAATTTACAAAACGTAAATGTTATTATTTAATAAATTCAAACACTTAAAGAATATCTAAACGTTTGGAAAAGGAATTTAAACCTGGATTTCGCTCTGACAGACATATTTAACCTTTCTTAAACTTCTTCTCTGCAAGTTTGGCACAAAGATAGTGGCGCATTAAAACTCCAACTCTGTTCATATTTTGTGGATTCTCCTTAAATCTGCGTAATTGGAATATAAACCGACAACATGTTGTTCAAACGCTGAATTCCTCCATTACAAACAAGTGTTTTTGTTGTTGAATATATTCATTATAAATGTTTTTCTTTGGGCGGAAACAGTTAACTCCACAGTGAGAAGGAGTGTGAGGGGGCTGGGTCTAACCGCGCCGTGTGTCTGCGCGCGTCTCTCTATGTGTGTGTGTGCGTAAGTGAGTGTGTGCGCCAGTGGCAGCGTACACACACTACTGTACATTGATGGAGCCGCTAATCTCTGTCAGTCCGGCAGAGCCCTGTGAGAAAACCACGCTGCTGCTGCTGCTGCTGCTGCTGCGGGGCTGAACTGACGCTGCGAAATTACTCCGCCGGACGATGACGGCTCCAGAATAAACCCGCATGTGCCGGGAGGACGCTGAAACCCCGAACTGAAGGAATGTGCCGTCTCACTGACACGGTCTAGTAAAGAACCATTAGGAGGTCAGCTCGGATTTTGCGCGAAGTTTAGCCAATTCCTCGCCGTAATGCCGGTTTTTTCCCCCCGTGAATGAATGACGCCGCCGCTTAACAGGTCCCACAGAGGCAGCTGGGAGAAGTGGTGAATGTACAACCGGTGAGATATCCTCGAAAACGCGATTTTTTTGTCCAGAAAAAAAGGGTTTGGGAACATTTCTCGGTGGCTGTGGATGTGAGTCCGCCGTGCGCATCAGTTAAAGCCCAGAAGACAGCAGCTCCGTGCGCGCTGGAGGGATCAGGATCAGCGGGATCCAGTTGAAATGAAGAGGTGAGTGACGCCCGTTTACGCCTAATCTGCTTTACAGTCTGTAAATATTTGTTTAAATCCCACGCAGAGTCACATCACTTCACACAGACAGATCCACGCTGCTGGTGTTCTCGTACAGAGGGGCTAATATCCGACACTGCGGATGGAAAACTGAACAGAGACATTTTTCATTTTAGGCTGCAGGCTCTGGAGAGGTAGCAGCCTGTTTGAATTTCATTGTGGCTTTGCTGCAGCGAACAATCACACTAAACCACTCATGTGCTGCCTCTGAATGTGGGCTTTACTACAGCTGTAGGTGAATAAAGGGGGATTTTATTGCTGCTTCCACTCAGGTGTTGCTCTGCTCTGCTCTGCAGCCTTTCCATTTACCAACATGCATCCTCTGTTCTCATTCATCAGGATGGAGCTGCTGCTGCACTCTTTGACATGTGCACCGCTGCCTGTTTCAGAGGCGAGGACTTGCACTTTAGATCATTCCTGCTGCAGCTGCTGAGTCTGCTTTGTGAGCCGCTTGCAGTTCTTTGAGTCCTAATGCTTTAAGTCATCAAGGATGGATCTGATTGGTTGAGATTTTGATTTTGTGTGAATTGAATTGACTCATTCATGGATTCATAGCTACAGAGCATATACCATTTGAAGATGTGGCTGCAGACTTGTACCTGTGTGTCCCTGCAACAAGTGAACCTTGAATTTTGAGCCGTCGATCAAAATCAGACAGTTACACTTCTCAGATTTACAAAATTTACGCTCATTTCCAAGTTCCCAAGGTCACAGATCCCTCTCAGAGTATTTCAAGTCTACAGATTCCTGGCTGAATCCGAATCCAGACGGTTTAAAGACACAACAGTCTGATGCATTGTCTCAGAGTGGTGTCACTTGAGCTCTCCAGATCGACACTCCAGACCTCATCTGTCCTTTCAAGCAGATGCACCTACAAATCTTCATTCTGTGTCAGACTGCTAGCGCTCCGCCAAGCACCCATGACAATGACTCTAAAGAAAATAAATGTTGTCTTAAGTAGAAAATTGCCTCGCATTTGCATGAAAATGACTTACATCTGCCGCGGCTGATGGGTAGCATATTAATCCCTCTGCTTGTGCAATCAAAACCCACTCCTCCTCGGTGAAATCATGTTGTTTTTTTTTCGTGTGACTGAACCGTGACCCCCCTCTTCGTGTCGTTATTTTGATATCCATCTCAAAGCGAAACAGCAGTTTGACCCCGAAGTGCCGTCTTTGGAGGAACAAACCGGCTCTCAGCGTTGCTTTGATTATCACATGCTGATTATATTCAGCCAATTAACTCCAATCTAATGAAAAAAAAAAAAAAGCTCATTCAGTGATGGCGTGCTGCCGCCTCTGACCGGCAGCTGCTATATGACTGTTTTATAGACTTCTATCAGATCTGCTCCGGCTCGATTTATCCTCATCATTAGTTATCTCACAATATATGACATTGAGGTTTATTGCACCCTTTGAAGACAACATCTCGGCGGTGAAATGCTGTTAAAAACATTTCAAAAGCTGTCATCAATAGTCCTAATTTATTCTGAGAGCAATGCCGGTTTGTTCTCTTTTTAAATAATGGAGGATATGAGCAAAAGTTGTTAAGAATTCAGCTCAATGAATCACTTTCAAGTGTTGCCTTTGAAGGCGCGCCGTCCGAGAGAGCCTTTTCCAGAAAGCCCCGACATCACACATTCGTCCAATCAATAAGGTTAACCTCACCAAGCTGGAGAGAAATTGCTTCTGCTGGACAAAGTTAGATGGAGCTCCTTGGAGTAAGGGTTGATGTTTTTTTTCTGCTTCACCTCTCGGTAGGTGGGGTGCAGTATTTCTGATTGGATTTATAGTGGAGCGGTGGTCAGTGAGGTGGTCTGTATTTACTGTTTTTGATGTCGGAGTGATTTGCATAAGCCGGTTCAGGTCTACTTTCTCCCTCCAGGGGGAAAATATTCAGGTCTTTCATTCTGTTTTTATTGTGCAGGACTTCGCTTTTGATTCTGTGTTTCGAGTAACCCTCGACTTGTGTTTTTAAGAGGTACCCGACCTCTAAAATTTCTTGCGGATGCTTCAAAAGACCGCCTTGGCTACTATCAGCCTCTGTCAGTATCAGCGACAGACTTCTGATCCGTGCTCACGGCTCTCGAGCGTCCTCTGTTGATGGACCTGAATGGACGAGCCGCCTCTGTCCACTCCTGCCACCCTGAAACCACACTTGCATTCCTAACTAATCCCCTAACTGCACGATTCGCCCCTGAATGAGTTGTTAGTGCCTTTTTCTGCGTGCTGTGTCACCGCTAGCGCTCACACGGCGGCTCTCGTCTTCATACCCCCCCCTCCCTGAAGGCAGCCAGACTCACCACACTGTAGCTTGAGAGATTTTGACAAGTCGCTACGCATGCAGGCAGAATCCTTGACCTATTTCTTAATGAGTGAATGCAGCAAAAGCGGCTCAGCGGCTGTGTATTCTTGAATGAAGCCCCCCTCTCTAACCCCTCCTTTCTCTCCTAACTGTCTTTTTCTTGCACACACACACACGCAAACATGCAAACACATGCAGATAATGGTGCTTTTGTGAGTTCACTGACTCATTCTCCCACAGACATAGGTCCTCTTCTTCTTTTTCCCCCCTAACTGCTGGAGTGTACAAATAGCGAGCGAGTGTTTGTTTTAATGAAATTGCCCCCCTTTCCTTCCCTTCTCTTCCCTCCTTGCCCCCTCGTCTCCTCTCACTGTGGGCTGTTTATCTGAACCTCTCAACTGTCCAGCTGTCACAACACAGATCTCAATCTTCTTGACCCGCACACGCTCCGCTCGCTCAGCCTTGTGTTACGTGCGTGCTTGTGTCTGGGATTTGGAGTTTTATGGAGAGCGAGGACGCGGGAGGATTGACGTAAAGGCGAGATCCGGATCTGAGGTGACATTGATCAAGTGGAGCGCAGCCAAGGGGGAACATTATAGTGCGAGAGATTTGAGTCTGAGCAGGAGATCACAGCAGGCTTCATTTACATCCTCCCTTTTTGCTGTGTCTCCCTGTGGATAATTAGCAGCACAAGTTTTCAGACTTGTCTCTGAAGCTCTGAGCAGCAGGTTCAGTCGTAGTTTAAGATCATTATCACAACAATCACGTTACACTCAATAGATGTTGCACTCAATGTGTAATAGAAACACGACTCTACTCGTGTGTTTTAGATACATAGACTGGTGTAAAAGCAGTAGACGCAGCAACTTGGCTTCAAAAGTAAAGCCAAAGTTGAAGTTCCTGGAATCATATTCCCTCTTCTGACCAGTAGGGGGCCTTTCTTTGACTTCACGTGTAGCAAAACATTACAATTGAAACCACATGGAAAGTTTTTATTTGCTTCTTCACTGTTTTGTAATCAACATTGAGCTCAGTCAATTGTTACAACTATTTGATGTGGTGACAATACGTCCTCTTTTACCCGGACGTGTCTTCTTTTTGGGGGGCTGTCCGGCCTTGTCTGGGAGAGTTTATAAAATCCTTCAAATGTCCGGGGTTTTGTGTGGAAGTTTGAGTTTATGTTGCGTGGACTAACTGAGTTAGAAGCACGTAAAAACACTCGACCCGACCTGAAAAACTTTCAGAATTAACTACACCGACTCTGCTCTGCATAGTAGTGTCCTCTTTTTGGGGATTCAGAATACGGTCGCCCTACAGGATGATGTTTTTAAGTTTAAGGCCATGGTTACTAAGGATGTTAACGGCTAAAACGGACATTCGAATTGTAACTACATGACTAAGATCTTGTATTTAATACAGTCAAACATGAGATCACAGAGAAAACAGAGTCGTATCTACCATTAGCAGAGCTGGCACCATCAGCCTCCAGTCCCTGCAGGTTCATGTCTACATGAATAAGCCAGGTACACATTGCTCATATTAAGTGGTTATATGCTAGTTTACAGCTCCTTGGAGGAACTTTCCGTATGTGGCGCCCCCTGTAGACCAAGATAAACCTTTGAAAACTCAGCATTTCTGGTCCTATATCTCACTTTGCTTCCTTTAGCAGCTGCAAAAAGTCCAAATCCAAGTCCAGGCATTGAAAACTGAATCCAGAAGCTGCCCAAAGTGGTCAAATTTGGTGTTATGGGTCATAAATAAGCATAGCTGTTAATTTCAGACTGTTAAAAAGCAAGTTACCCCTGCTTTTTTAGATAATACTACCGGACTGCGCCCCTCTATGAGGTTTCATCTGGTATCTGTGGCAGTTGTTAGTAACAGAGATGCTGCCTTAGTGGACGGCTGACGTTGAAACTCTGCTAACAGGCTAAATCAAAGCTGCCATTGGTTAGCTTCAATCCTGTCACACGATATTTGTGTTTGAAAGCAGAGCAGATTGATTTTCAGTCCCTCCCTATTACTCTGTAAGGTTTTAGATCTCGTTCATGAAAAGAGAAATGATTTTTTATTTATTTTTTTCACTTACCGAGTTTCTTATTAACAACCTGCATACAAACACATCTGTTTGTGAAGTTGTTTTGATGCGTCCCGACACTCTTATCCGACTTTTCTTAATGCAACAGGCTTAAATCAGCGTTTTGATATCCTCATGTAAAGATTTTCTCTCCAAACATTTCAATATTGTGGATCTGAAGACATTTCATTACACTTTGATAATTCCCGCTCAATAGCAGACGTAAGAAAACACCACAGGAGCACATTTAATGGTCCAGTCATGCTGCTGCATCCATTTTCATCATCTTGAGTAGTTGTGCGTGTTGCCTTCAGTGACTTATCAAATCGTTGAGACCGTTTGAAATTGATGACTACAGGCCTCAACATTGTTAAGTAGCAGCTCGCCCAGTATGAACAACACATAGCACAGGGTGCAAAAATCAATGCGGCTCCTTTGCATTTGATTTTTTCAGCGTACGCGGCGAGACTGTACTGTACTTGAGAGAAAAAGGCGACCTTTCCCGCTGTCGTGTTTACCGAGCTTGGGTTTTTTTTCCCTCTGATAAGTCTCTTCGGAGAGTTTGTTTCCCCATATCTGTCAGGATGTGAGAGCAAGACTGTGTGTGTCTGTGTGTGTGTGTGCTTGCAGAAAGGCCCCAGCCAGACTCATCAGAGGACCGTCGGGGAACAGCTAACAGTCGTCCCTCTGCCAGGCTAAAACCGCGGCCAGTCCAGACCCCGCTCTCTCTATTGATGGCAGCAAGTTAGCAATGAACCCTAGTGTGCACTCTGCTGTCCCAAAGGCTTGCCAGCTTGCTGGAAACAAAGCCTTTTGTAGGGCCGTTGGATCCAACAGATGGAGAAATGGACAGTAAATGAAAGTGGAGGCAAAGGGGAATAAAGGAATTTAGCGGAGCATGTTTGCGGGTAGGCATTTAGGCGTCTCCTTTGGGAAGCCTAACACCCTCACAATGCAATACTGGCAGAACTTAAATGTTCTCCCGTCGACACGCTGCGAGAGCGGCTTTGGGCCCCCTGTGCGAGTGGAGAAGGCAGTCAGCTCACGAGGGCTCTCCAGGGCCTGGGAGGCCTTTATTAAGATGTTAATGGAACTGCCTTCATGACACATTTCCACGGGACAGGATCCCTCGCCTCTGCCATTCTTTAGTGCCTCAATCTGCCTGCAACAATCATCAGTCTCTCCTCCCTCGCACAACAGCCTGCTTAGGCATTCAGCCCCATCTCCACATTCCCCCCTAGCCTCTCCTCTCTCCTCTCTCTCTCTTTCGCTCTCATCCTCCGTCTTTATCGGATCTCTGCTGTCACAAACCGCCGTATATTTTACCACGTGTAACAAAATTACGCGATGCCGGCGATAAGGGCAGCAGTCCTGGCGTAGGAACCCGCAGGAATAACAAGTCTAGCTGTTTGTTTGTTGCTGATCTTCACACCGGCTGGAAGTCAGGCTGTCACCCCAGCAAGCCATGAGGGCTGTTATGATTTTTTTTTCTTCCTCCTCCTTCCTTCCCTACAAACACTTCAAGTTTTCTTGCTTGTTTCCAGGACACTTTTTACATTCCTTCCACTCGGTCGCCTCAGCCCTCAAAGTGCTCCTGAGGCTGTTTTATGCAGCTCATGAAAGCAAAAACACCAAAAAGGAAAAAAAAAGAAGAAGAAGAAAAGGGGGAGAAAGACCTCAAGCTTTACATACAAATGCTTTGACTTACTTTGTTTTTCATGAAAGGCCACTGGATGTATTGTCCCGACTGTTTTCTCATTTCTCACCCGTTTGAATATAAGTCAGTGTAGGCTGGAACCATCAATAATCAATTAGCTGGTGTCATGGGAGGATGTGCGTTTTTGTTTGGAGGAACTTGACAATAAGTGAGCAACAAAAAGGAGAGAGAGAGGGAGAGAGTGAGGAGAGAGAGAGGGAGGGGGTGATTGTGTAAGACGCCAAGGGGCAGCTGTCAGGAGCAGATGACAGCATGTGTGTGTGTGTGTGTAATTTCTGCGCTTGGCTGCGTGTGTGTGTGTGTTTGCGCCCATTTTAATTTATTTTTCTTCGACTGCTTTTGCACATGTGTCTTTTGTGTGTCGGTGTTTTCAGGCAAACCCCGCGCCGCTCTGCCCACACTGCCCCCTGGTGATGAGGATACCCCAGCCCTCTCTGCCCACCACTGTCGCCATGGTTACCGCAGAAATAGACACACACACACAGAAAAGAAAAGAAAAAAAAAAAAGGGTGCAGACATTGCTTGTCTACTTCGCTCATGTGCCATAGGGGGAACTCAGCCAAACTGCAGCTTTGTCCTTCGACTACACATACACTGTGGTCCAATTACAACCAGCACCGCTTTCAGCTCAAAGGAGCCCATTACAGCCATTAGCTCCCTCAGCCTTTACAAAGCAGCGTGTAATTTTCCAACACGATTGGCTCATGCTAGTATCCGAACAAAACTGTACAAAACCCAGCAGGTCGCTGTGTGTTTACATTAACTCACTTCTCTTTATGCGTGATTTTTCTTCCCCGTGTAACACTCAAATTCCCCCTCATGTGCTCCCAGGCACGGTGACATGTAGATACCTGCACCTTCGCTGTCTTCATTGTTACTATTTCGCAGAGAGGCATGGCCTTATCTGGGCAGAGAGCTCGCCTCAGTGTGAGGCCTTTACTCATCTTCAGCCCTTGAGCAGAAAGATGAAAAGAAGCGTAGAAACACAGAGCCCTCCGAGTTCATTCCTGAGTGAGATAGTGAACAGGAAACTGTCTGGAGAAGTTCCCCCGCTCCTTTACCGTCTCATTTTTTCTTCATCTTGATAAACTTATCGAACTTTTCAGTCACTTAAGTACAACTCAAGCTCCAAAAAAGTAGAAAATGTTTATAAAACAGATTAAAACGATTGACATTTAAAGGCAATTTCATGTCATGAGTTTAAAAGCAACAAAAGAGGGGAAAACCGACTCATTAGGTTCATTTGCCACAGGTCAGTCACATGACGGGGTCTAAAAAGGGCATTTCAGAGGGTCTCAGTCTCTCAAACGTAACGGCATAATGTTATTAAACGTTCAGGGAATCTGGGGAAATCTCTGTACAGGAGGGAAAAACCTGAAAAAGCTGAACAGGACGGCTGTACGTGGTGCCACATTAAAAAAGACATGACTCTGTCGTGGAAACCACCGCATGACCCCAAACCACTTAAAAAAAACATAATTTC